CCTATACTGACTGCCAACAGGGGGCGGAGCCAAACAGCTAGCTCCACCCACAAACCATCTGTATCCACAGTGAACCCGCCCACACACAGCGAATACATGGCAATCCGAGGGCGGGGCCAGAGATCTAACTCCACCCACCACCATCTGTCTCCACAGTGAACCCGCCCACACAGAGGGACGCACAACGAATACATGGCAACCCGAGGGAGGGGCCAGGCGCTGTCTAACTCCGCCCATATAGATCCCGCCCACAGACAGAGCTACCCCACAACAAGCGGTCTCTGGGAAACCCCAAGGACAAAGACCCCGCCCACCCCGTCTGTGGCTCCGCCCTAACAAGGATGCAAGTGCCATCCAGCTGCTGCTGGCTCCATGTCTGAGCTCCTGGCTGCGGCGCCATGTTGGTGGAGACCAGGATTGTCTCCAATCTCTTAAAGGGACCGTGCATAGAAAATAAAACCAAACATTTAGTAAGTACCCCAACAAAATAACATGTATTTAATATGTTTGGTATCATTTTATATGGCTGGAGGAATGACACAGTAACCTTACCTGAAAAACTGCTTAATACCCTGCATTGTCGCCAGATGTGGGACAGCAGGACAGAACCCGGGACAGAACCCAGGATAACGGGACAGAACCCGGGACAGAACCCAGGATAACGGGACAGAACCTGACAGAACCCAGGATAACGGGACAGAACCCAGGACAGAACCCAGGATAACGGGACAGAACCCGGGACAGAACCCAGGATAACGGGACAGAACCCAGGACAGAACCCAGGACAGAACCCAGGATAACGGGACAGAACCCGGGACAGAACCCAGGACAGAACCCAGGATAACAGGACAGAACCAGGGACAGAACCCATGATAAGGGGACAGAACCCAGGCTAACGGGACAGAACCCAGGACAAACATTTAGTAAGTACCCCAACAAAATAACATGTATTTAATATGTTTGGTATCATTTTATATGGCTGGAGGAATGACACAGTAACCTTACCTGAAAAACTGCTTAATACCCTGCATTGTCGCCAGATGTGGGACAGCAGGACAGAACCCGGGACAGAACCCAGGATAACAGGACAGAACCCAGGATAACGGGACAGAACCCGGGACAGAACCCAGGACAGAACCCAGGATAACGGGACAGAACCCGGGACAGAACACAGGATAACGGGACAGAACCCAGGACAGAACCCAGGATAACGGGACAGAACCCGGGACAGAACCCAGGATAACGGGACAGAACCCGGGACAGAACCCAGGACAGAACCCAGGATAACGGGACAGAACCCGGGACAGAACCCAGGACAGAACCCAGGATAACGGGACAGAACCAGGGACAGAACCCAGGACAACGGGACAGAACCCAGGACAACGGGACAGAACCCAGGACAGAACCCAAGATAACGGGACAGAACCTGACAGAACCCAGGATAACGGGACAGAACCCAGGACAGAACCCAGGATAACGGGACAGAACCCAGGACAAAACCCAGGATAACGGGACAGAACCCAGGATAACGGGACAGAACCCAGGACAGAACCCAGGACAACGGTACAGAACCCAGGACAGAACCCAGGATAACAGGACAGAACCAGACAGAACCCAGGATAACGGGACAGAACCCAGGACAACGGGACAGAACCCAGGATAACGGGACAGAACCCGACAGAACCCAGGATAACGGGACAGAACCCAGGATAACGGGACAAAACCCAGGACAGAACCCAGGACAACGAGACAGAACCCAGGATAATGGGACAGAACCCAGGATTACGGGACAGAACCCAGGATAACGGGCAGAACCCAGGATAACGGGCAGAACCCAGGATAACGGGACAGAACCCAGGATAACGGGACAGAACCCAGGACAGAACCCAGGATAACGGGACAGAACCTAGGATAACGGGACAGAACCCAGGACAGAACCCAGGATAACGGGACAGAACCCAACGGAACCCAGGATAACGGGACAGAACCCAACGGAACCCAGGATAACGGGACAGAACCTGACAGAACCCAGGATAATGGGACAGAACCCAGGATAACGGGACAGAACCCAGGATAACAGGACAGAACACGACAGAACCCAGGATAATGGGACAGAACCCAGGATAATGGGACAGAACCCAAGATAATGGGACAGAACCCGACAGAACCCAGGATAATGGGACAGAACCCAGGACAGAACCCAGGATAACGGGACAGAACCCAGGATAACGGGACAGAACCCAGGATAACGGAACAGAACCCAACAGAACCCAGGATAACAGGACAGAACACGACAGAACCCAGGATGACGGGACAGAACCCAGGACAACGGGACAGAACCAGAGACTGGGCCCCTTAAAACAGCATTAACACCCAGCACTCCCAAGCAACCAAGTCCTGCTGAATCTTCAGAGCAGAGGTATTATCTCTGGAAAATCAACTCAAGAATTCCTGCATTAATGTTTCATTTAAACAGAAGAGAACTCTAACAGGACAGAACACGACAGAACCCAGGATAACGGGACAGAACCCAGGATAATGGGACAGAACCCAAGATAACGGGACAGAACCCGACAGAACTCAGGATAACGGGACAGAACCCAGGACAGAACCCAGGATAACGGGACAGAACCCAGGACAGAACCCAGGATAACGGGACAGAACCCAGGATACCCAGGATAACGGGACAGAACCCAGGATACCCAGGATAACGGGACAGATTCCAGGACAGAGGGACAGAACCCAGGATGGAACCCAGGATAACGGGACAGAACCCAGGACAGAACCCAGGATAACGGGACAGAACCCGGGACAGAACACAGGATAACGGGACAGAACCCAGGACAGAACCCAGGACAGAACCCAGGATAACGTGGACAGAACCCTCGACAGAACCTTGGTGACAGAACCCAGGATAACGGACAGAACCAGGACAGAACCCAGGACAACGGGACAACAGAACCCAGGACAACGGACAGAACCCAGGACAGAACCCAAGATAACGGACAGAACCTGACAGAACTCAAAGAGCACAGAACCCAGGACAGAACCCAGGATAACGGGACAGAACCCAGGACAAAACCCAGGATAACGGGACAGAACCCAGGATAACGGGACAGAACCCAGGACAGAACCCAGGACAACGGTACAGAACCCAGGACAGAACCCAGGATAACAGGACAGAACCAGACAGAACCCAGGATAACGGGACAGAACCCAGGACAACGGGACAGAACCCAGGATAACGGGACAGAACCCAGGACAGAACCCAGGATAACGGGACAGAACCCAGGATACCCAGGATAACGGGACAGATTCCAGGACAGAGGGACAGAACCCAGGATGGAACCCAGGATAACGGGACAGAACCCAGGATAACGGAACAGAATCCAGGACAGAACTCAGGCTACCGGGACAGAACCCGACAGAACCCAGGCTAACGGGACAGAACCCAGGACAACGGGACAGAACCCAGGACAACGGGACAGAACTCAGGACAGAACCCAAGATAACGGGAAAGAACCTGACAGAACCCAGGATAACGGGACAGAACCCAGGACAGAACCCAGGATAACGGGACAGAACCCAGGATAACGGGACAGAACCCAGGATAACGGGACAGAACCCAGGACAGAACCCAGGATAACAGGACAGAACCTGACAGAACCCAGGATAACGGGACAGAACCCAGGACAAAACCCAGGATAACGGGACAGAACCCAGGACAACGGTACAGAACCCAGGACAGAACCCAGGATAACAGGACAGAACCAGACAGAACCCAGGATAACGGGACAGAACCCAGGACAACGGGACAGAACCCAGGACAGAACCCAGGATAACGGGACAGAACCCAGGACAGAACCCAGGACAACGGGACAGAACCCAGGACAGAACCCAGGATAACGGGACAGAACCCAGGATAACGGGACAGAACCCAACAGAACCCAGGATAACGGGACAGAACCCAGGATAACAGGACAGAACACGACAGAACCCAGGATAACGGGACAGAACCCAGGACAACTGGACAGAACCCAGACAGAACTCAGGATAACGGGACAGAACCCGACAGAACCCAGGATAACGGGACAGAACCCAGGATAACAGGACAGAACCCAGGACAACTGGACGGAACCCAGGATAATGGGACAGAACCCAGGACAGAAGCCAGGATTACAGGACAGAACCCAGGACAAAACCCAGGATAACGGGCAGAACCCAGGATAACGGGACAGAACCCGACAGAACCCAGGATAACGGGACAGAACCCAGGATAACGGGACAGAACCCAGGATAACGGGACAGAACCCAGGATAACGGGACAGAACCCAGGACAGAACCCAGGATAACGGGACAGAACCCAACAGAACCCAGGATAACGGGACAGAACCCAGGATAACGGGACAGAACCCAGGATAACAGGAAAGAACACGACAGAACCCAGGATAACGGGACAGAACCCGACAGAACCCAGGATAATGGGACAGAACCCAGGACAGAACCCAGGATAACGGGACAGAACCCAGGATAACGGGACAGAACCCAACAGAACCCAGGATAACGGGACAGAACCCAGGATAACAGGACAGAACACGACAGAACCCAGGATAACGGGACAGAACCCAGGACAACTGGACAGAACCCAGGACAACGGGACAGAACCAAAGACTGGGCCCCTTAAAACAGCATTAACACCCAGCACTCCCAAGCAACCAAGTCCTGCTGAATCTTCTGAGCAGAGACTGGGCCCCTTAAAACAGCATTAACACCCAGCACTCCCAAGCAACCAAGTCCTGCTGAATCTTCAGAGCAGAGGTATCATCTCTGGAAGATCATCTCAAGAATACCTGCATTACTGTTTCCTTTAAACTCTTATTTTCAAACTGTGTTCTATTCCATCTCCCTCCCTATACTATCACTACTCAATTGATAACTATATCTCCCATCCTGATCTTCTGTTTTTGTTTTTCTTAAGGCTGGTATGATCATGTCAATTTATGTTCATTCTCTTAGACTCTTTGTTAATTGTTTGTTTGTTTAACAGAACCCAGGATAACGGGACAGATTCCAGGACAGAGGGACAGAACCCAGGACAGCGGGACAGAACCCAGCACAACGGGACAGACTTTAAGACAGCAGGACAGAACCCAGGACAGAACCCAAAACAGCAGGACAGAACCCAGGACAGAACCCAAAACAGCAGGACAGAACCCAGGACAAAGCGACAGAACTCAGGACAGGGGAAAAGAACCCAGGACAATGGGACAGAACCCAGGACAACACGACAGAACCCAAAACAGCGGGACAGAACCCAGGTCAACGGGACAGGACCCAAAACAGCGGGACAGGACCCAAAACAGCGGGACAGAACCCCGGTCAGTGGGACAGAACCCCGGTCAGCGGGACAGAACACAGGACAGCGGGACAGAACACAGGACAGCGGGACAGAACCCTGGATAACGGGACAGAACCCAGGACAAAACCCAGGCTACCGGGACAGAACCCGACAGAACCCAGGACAACGGGACAGAACCCAGGACAACGGGACAGAACTCAGGACAGAACCCAAGATAACGGGACAGAACCTGACAGAACCCAGGATAACTGGACAGAACCCAGGATAACGGGACATAACCCAGGACAAAACCCAGGATAACGGGACAGAACCCAGGATAACGGGACAGAACCCAGGACAGAACCCAGGACAACGGTACAGAACCCAGGACAGAACCCAGGATAACAGGACAGAACCAGACAGAACCCAGGATAACGGGACAGAACCCAGGACAACGGGACAGAACCCAGGATAACGGGACAGAACCCGACAGAACCCAGGATAACGGGACAGAACCCAGGATAACGGGACAAAACCCAGGACAGAACCCAGGACAACGAGACAGAACCCAGGATAATGGGACAGAACCCAGGATTACGGGACAGAACCCAGGATAACGGGCAGAACCCAGGATAACGGGCAGAACCCAGGATAACGGGACAGGGAGCCAGGATACTTGGGACAGGAGCCGACCAGAACCCAGGATAGCAGGACAGAACCCAGGACCCAGAACCCAGGATACTTGGGGACAGAGCATGGGACAGAACCCAGGATAACAGGACAGAACCCAGCAGAACCCAGGATAACGGGACAGAACCCAACAGGGCAGGATAACAGGACAGAAGCCAAGGATAGCAGGACAGAACCCAGGATAGCGGGAGGACTGGGAACCCAGGACAACAGGACAGAACACGACTTGGGAACCCAGGATAGCAGGGACAGGAGCCAAGATAGCAGGACAGGAGCCCGACAGAACCCAGGATAATGGGACAGAACCCAGGACAGAACCCAGGATAGCAGGATAGAACCCAGGATAGCAGGACAGGGCAAGACCCAGGATAGCAGGACCCAGGAGCCAGGATACTTGGGACAGAACCAGGATAACAGGACAGAACCACGTGACAGAACCCAGGATAGCAGGACAGAACCCAAGATAGCAGGACAGAACCCGACAGAACCCAGGATAATGGGACAGAACCCAGGACAGAACCCAGGATAACGGGACAGAACCCAGGATAACGGGACAGAACCCAACAGAACCCAGGATAACGGGACAGAACCCAACAGAACCCAGGATAACGGGACAGAACCCAGGATAACAGGACAGAACACGACAGAACCCAGGATAACGGGACAGAACCCAGGATAACAGGACAGAACACGACAGAACCCAGGATAACGGGACAGAACCCAGGACAACGGGACAGAACCCAGGACAACGGGACAGAACCAGAGACTGGGCCCCTTAAAACAGCATTAACACCCAGCACTCCCAAGCAACCAAGTCCTGCTGAATCTTCAGAGCAGAGGTATTATCTCTGGAAGATTGCCCACCCTCCCCTCCCCACACCATCCCATCCCATCCCACCCCATGGTCATCAACTCATTTATAGATAGTGCACATCAGCAGGTTTCCATAACACACCAATCAAGTCATTAAACCACTCCTCACCTGAATTCATTTAACACACTGCATCCTTACAATGGTTTAAACTCTCATTGATATTTGTGTGTTTGTATATATGATCTACATATCTATATAATACACATTTTCTCTAATGTTCTCCCTTCTATTTTTCACATTAACACTAACTTCTGTCATTACTAAAATATCCCTATCCTTTCACTCACCTGTCCCTGGCAACACCATCATCATTACTTCCACCTTACTCCCCTCCCCTCTCTATTCATCCCATGCACTCTACACATACCTTTCCAGCCTATCTCCACCGACTCTCTCCAAATCCTCCACATACATACCCTCCTACAAAACTTTCAAATCCTACTCCCACCTTCACTTCCTTTCTATCCTTCTGCTCCTAGCAGCTGGTGATGTCTCTCCAAACCCCGGTCCCCTCTCAACAAACTCAGCACATACTAACCCAAGGATCCACACTAATCTCATACCCATCTCTTGTTCCTCTAAATCCTCCTTCAATACTGCCCTCTGGAACGCACGCTCTGTTTGCAATATAACTAAATCCACTGCTGTCCATGACTTCTTCATCTCTCGTTCAATAGATTTACTAACCTTAACAGAAACCTGGCTCTCCCCCTCTGACACTGCCACCCCTGCATCTTTGTCCTTCGGTGGTCTCCAACTTACTCACAACCCAAGAAACTCTGAATGTAAAGGTGGTGGTGTTGGGTTTCTCCTCTCCCCTCACTGCTCTTTTAAACCTCTTCCCACCCCCCCCTTCCCTCTCCTTCCCGTCATTTGAAATACACTCAATTTGCCTTTTCAAACCCTTCTCTGCTAACATTGCTGTTATTTACCGTCCCCCTGGTTCCCCTCTTCTCTTCCTTGACCACTTTGCTGCCTGGCTACCCTATTTCCTCTCTTCTAACATCCCATCCCTAATTCTCGGGGACTTCAATATTCCTATAAACCCACCTTTGACCTCTGCAGCCAATAAACTAATTTCAATTACTTCCTCCCTCGGACTATCACAGTGGGCAAGTTCTCCCACCCATGTAGCTGGCAATACCCTTGACCTAATCGTCACTTATGCATGTACTGTATCTAATATCTGCAACACTCCATATCCACTCTCTGATCACCACCTCTTATCGTTTGCTCTCACGTACCCCTTCACCCAACAACCTCCGCCTAACCACCCTCAACTCAGGAGGGACCTTAATTCTCTTGATCTCCAACAGCTGTCAGCTGACATTGATTCAAAACTGCTGTCTATCCCTTCCCTCTCCTGTCCTTCACTGGCCATCTCCATATTTAACTCTACCTTTACATCTGCCTTGTACACTGCAGCACCACTCCAAACAAGCACCTCAAGGAGGACCCACCCCCAACCATGGCATACTAAATCAACGCGCTACCTGCAAAGATATTCATATTGTGTTCACACAGTGCAGCCCTTGCCCTTGCCAAACAGTCCTATTTTTCCTCTCTCATTAGTTCATGTTCCCGCAACCCCAGGCGTCTCTTTGACACCTTTAATTCTCTTCTTTGCCCCACTGTGGCCACCCCCCAAACCAACCTTACTGCTGATAACTTTGCATGTTACTTCACTGACAAAATTGAACAGCCAAGGAAAGAATTCTTCCCTCCTTGCCTTTCTGTTTCTCAATCACACATCGATCATGCCTTTCCTACCCTTCAGACATTCTCCCCAGCCACTGACCAAGAGGTGGCTGCTCTTCTTTGCTCCTCTCGCCCACCACTTGCCCCCTCGATCCTGTCCCATCTCACCTTATCAGATCTCTCTCCACTTGTCTCGTGCCTTCTCTAACACACATCTTCAACTGCTCGCTCTCTTCTGGCATCGTCCCTGCTGACCTTAAACATGCCACTGTAGTACCTATACTAAAAAAACCATCCCTCGACCCGTCCACCTCCTCTACCGTCCCATATCCCTGCTCCCTTTTTCCTTTTGACACCGTTGATCATGCTCTCCTTCTTCAAACTCTGCAATCGCTTGGTCTCTGTGACTCTGTCCTCTCATGGTTTTCCTCTTATCTCTCCCAACGCTCATTCAGTGTCTCTTTTTCTAATGATACCTCCTCCCCTCACCCTGTCTCGGTTGGAGTCCCCCAAGGCTCCGTCCTTGGTCCCCTTCTATTTTCTCTTTATACTGCCTCTCTTGGCAAACTTATTACCTCATTTGGATTCCACTACCAACTATACGCTGATGACACCCAGCTATATCTCTCCTCCCCGGACCTCTCCCCTGCTGTCCTGCAACGTGTCACTGCTTGCCTTTCTTCCATCTCTGAATGGATGTCCTCCCGCTTTCTGAAACTCAATCTCTCAAAAACTGAGCTCCTTGTCTTTCCTCCTCTTAATACTGATCCTCCTCTTTCGCTCTCCCTTCAAGTTTGTGGTACCAACATCAGCCCATCCTTGCAAGCGCGCTGTCTTGGTGTCATACTTGACTCTGGTCTCAGCTTTGAGCCTCACATCCAGCATGTTGCCAAATCCTGTAGATTCCATCTTAAAAACATAGCCCGCATCCGCCCCTTTCTTGCACCAGATACTACCAAGGAGCTTGTCCATGCTCTAGTAATTTCCCGCATGGATTATTGTAACCCTCTCCTGCTTGGTCTTCCCAAAAGCCGTACTGCACCCCTACAGTCTGTAATGAACGCTGCTGCTAGACTGATTTTCCTCTCTAGTCGGTTCTCTCACACCTCACCCCTCTGCCAGTCCTTACATTGGCTTCCTGTGTGCTATAGGAGTCAATTCAAGGCACTAACTCACACCTATAAAGCACTGAACAACTCTAGCCCCTCTTATATCTCCTCACAGATCCATAGGTATGTCCCTTCTCGGTCTCTCCGCTCTGCCCGTGACCACCTCCTGTCCGTTGTCCGCACCCGTACGGCCAACTCGCGCTTGCAGGACTTCTCGCGGGCGGCTCCCTTCCTATGGAATAGCCTGCCTCCCGCCATCAGACTCTCCCCTAGTCTTGCATCTTTTAAGAAGTGCCTTAAAACCCATCTCTTTAGGAAAGCTTATGGCCTCCAAGACTAACCCCTACCTCACATACCTGTCTCTTGCCCTCTCCTAAAGGGCAGCCCACCTTATTTGATTGCAAATTCCTGTCCTACTGTGTTTTACACCCCACCTCCTATAGAATGTAAGCTCGATTGAGCAGGGTCCTCTTCAACCTATTGTTCCTGTAAGTTTATTTGTAATTGTCCTATTTATAGTTAAATCCCCTCTCATAATATTGTAAAGCGCTACGGAATCTGTTGACGCTATATAAATGGCAATAATAATAATAACCCAGGACAACGGGACAGAACCACGGATAACGGGACAGAACCCAGGACAGAACCCAGGATAACGTGCCAGAACCCGACAGAACCCAGGACAACAGGTTAGAACCCGACAGAACCCAGGATAATGGGACAGAACCCAGGATAACGGGACAGAACCCAGGACAACGGGACAGAACCCAGGACAACGGGACAGAAACCAGGACAGAACTCAGGATAACGGGTCAGAACTCAGGATAACGGGTCAGAACTCAGGATAACGGGACAGAACCCAGGACAGAACCCAGGATAAAGAAACAGAATCCAGGACAGAACTCAGGATAACGGGACAGAACCCAGAATAACAGGACAGAACCCAGGACAGAACCCAGGATAACGGGACAGAACCCAGGATAACGGAACAGAATCCAGGACAGAACTCAGGATAACGGGAGAGAACCCAGGAGAGAACCCAGGATAACGGGACAGAACCCAGGACAGAACACAGGATAACGGGACAGAACCCAGGACAGAGGGACAGAACCCAGGACAGCGGGACAGAACCCAGGACAGAACCCAGGATAACGGAACAGAACTCAGGATAACGGGACAGAACCCAGGACAGAACCCAAGATAACGGGACAGAACCCAGGACAGAACCCAGGATAACGGGACAGAACCCAGGACAGAGGGACAGAACCCAGGACAGCGGGACAGAACCCAGGACAACAGGACAGAACCCAAGACAGCGGGACAAAACCCGGGACAGAACCCAGGACAGAACCCAGGACAAAGCGACAGAACTCAGGACAGGGGAAAAGAACCCAGGACAATGGGACAGAACCCAGGACAACACGACAGAACCCAAAACAGCGGGACAGAACCCAGGACAACGGGACAGGACCCAAAACAGCGGGACAGAACCCTGGTCAGCGGGACAGAACCCTGGTCAGCGGGACAGAACCCAGGACAGTGGGACAGGACCCTGGACAGCGGGACGGGACAGCGGGACAGGACCCAGGACTACGCGAGAGAACCCAAAACAGCACGACAGAACCCAGGACAGCGGGACAGGACAGTGGGACAGAAACCAAAACAGTGGGACAGAAACCAGGACAACGCGAGAGAACCCAGGACAGCGGGACAGGACCCAGGACAGGACCCAGGACAACGCGAGAGAACCCAGGACAGCGGGACAGGATCCGGGACAATGTGACAGAACCCAGGACAGCGGAACAGGACCCAGGACAGCGGGACACAACCCAGGACAAAACCTAGAACAGCGGTACAGAACCCAGGACAGTGGGACAGAACCCAGGACAACGCGACACGACAGCGGGACAGATCCTAGGACAGTGAGACAGAACGCGGGACAGAAGCCAGGACAATGGGACAGAACTCAGGACAGCAGGAGAGAACCCAGGACAGCGGGACAAAACCACAAAACCAGGACCACCCAGAAGAGTGAGACAGGACCACAAAACCACAACCACTCAGAATAGCAGGACAGAACCACAAAGCCAGGACCACCCAGGACAGTGGGACAGGTCCACAAAACCACAACCCCCCAGGACAGCACTACAAGACCACAAAACCATGACCACCCAGGACAGCGGGACAGGACCACAAAATCAAAATCGCCCAATAAAACACAACAGGACCACAAAATCAGGTCTCCCTTCAGGAAAGTGGGTCAGGACCACAAAATTAGGATTATTATTATATAGCGTTCTCAGAGTATAACCGTGTATTGCTCTCAAAGTATTATCATATAGGGTATAACTGTATAGTTCTCGGAGTGTGACCATATAGAGTACTCAGAGTATAACTGTAAAGAGTTCTCAGACTGTATAATACATTCTCAGGGTATATCCTGCTGCTTTCGCATTTTCTACATTCCCCTGCCTGCCTGGGCTTATATCATACTGTACTTTCCTTACTTTCATTTGTGTGACTAACCTGATTTAGCCACGTGACTATTAGCTGCTGAGATCTTTGTTATCCACTTTCAAAGCACTTCCTGGGTTCTGATGCTCCCCTGATATATATATTAAACATACCGAGGCAAAAAGCAGGGAATTGGGACAAATTCTAGCCCAATGCGATATGTTAGTAGTTCCTTATCGTACATCTGTCTGGATACTTGTCTGTAGGCTACACTATGTGTTATAATGATATTGAGACATTCTGCACATCACAATTAACCCCAAGATGGAATTATTTTCCCAAAATCCACACTTTGCCCTTTTATATGACATGAATTTTTACGGCTATACTTAGTGTATCAGTGTTAGCACTAGGGCGGATGTTAGTGTTAGGATGAAGGTTAGGCTCGGGCTGCTACCAGGGAGTGTAACTCCCACTAATCCTGACTAGATGGGGACTTGTATGTCACAGCAGTTCCTGAGATCGGGGGTCTATCATGAATGATGTCACATCCACGGTCCACAATATTCTAAAACACGTTCTATTGTTTGCACTGCGCGTCACATAAAGTGCAACATAAAGTGTGTTAGGTCTATTGGATTCCAGAGTCTAAAATTATAAAATCCGTAATTGGCCCAGACTGTTAAAATCTCTGAATAAGATAAAATTGATTCATGGAAAATAAATCCAAGCACCATAAGCACTACAACTACCCCAGAGTCATGCCAAACACCTAAAACACTTCAACGTGCAAGCCCCCATATTCCCAATTCGAAGAGAAATGTCTACTTTTATAAACTGATTAAGGATAACCAAACAGAGCCTGAAGAGCTTCCTGATTCTCTACGCTTGAATAATCTTATAAGGGGAAATAAAGAGCTTCCATAGAGAAGCTGTATTCAATGCTTCCCTATGAGAAGTATTCTGTTGGACAATCGCCACAATCACGAGTAGGACATGTTTCCCCAATGATACTGTTGCATATGTCACCTCCTGGTATAGTAAGAGACACACTTATCAGAGGAATAACGTACAGTGTGTGTGTAATGTAGTTACTGTAGAAGAAAGCTAGAAACCTTTCATTAGGAGGGTTCTCCTGCCCTCCAGTTGCTCTGTTCCTGACATACATTCTCTGCCATTTTTATAACTCTGTATGCCAAAGATTGATTGACAGATGATTGGAAGCGTGCATGTTTTACTTAGATTTTTAGCACATCGTATTAATAAAATCTTAGGGTCTTTAATTTAAAGGTAAGCTATGATAAAGCAGAACACGTGTGATGACGTATGCTACAGGACACAATGCTCTGCAAAGCTCACTCAGGCTGAGACTAATTTACAGTGATTAATTAATCAATTCTGCTACAGAAACAAAATGACAAACAAACCTCGTGACGTGACCTATTTCACTGCTGTCATAACTAAAACCAGAAATACAGGTTCTGAGTAGGGTCACATGGTGGCTTCTTATGTGGACTCTTGGTTTTACTAATCTGAGCTCACACTACAACAAAACTCGACGCCCCGTGGACTAAAACTCCTATTATGTTGTGACAACATGTAATGAGTCAAAAGGAGCTGAATTTAACTAATTGCACAGTCAAAAAGGTAGAAAGTCGCTTTAGTGCAGAATGCTTAGTTTAGCAATGCATATTATGGTCATCTGAATGTCCAACCACTGGCGATTGAAAGTCCAGCTCTGGGGAGTTGCAGAGTATAAAACGGCCCCTCCGGGTTTGCAGTGGCAGGTAACTTTTAAGGCCTGGCTAGTAATGTAACCGTGCTACAGATTAAGTGTGTGTGTGTGTATGTATATATGTGGAAGGCAAATGCCTGAATTTGTGGGAGGGGTTAATTTCCTATTTAAATCCCCAGTAAATCCCAGCTTACCTATCATCGGCGTTTTGAAGTTCCTCTGTTCTGCTTCCGGTTCACAAAGCTCTGACATCATTTCCGCCCGCCGGCTGTCCGTAAGAACACAGCCCTCCAAATAAGTTTCACACAATTCGTGAGTATTAACAAAAAACGTACTCATCCGTCGTACGAGCAGGCTTACTGGCAAATTCTACTAACTGTAAGTAATTCGTCTTCACGAACACCTTGGATTTCGTATGTTGATTTCATACATATCATTCGTGGGATTCCCCCGTTCGGTTCATCTCCAGGCACTATTACGGAACAATTCGTATTAATTCAGTTTTTCTATTCGGTTAAATGAAATACTTGTTTAGGCTCATTCATTCGTCTGCATTCCAACGACATTTCGGGTATTAATTTGTGCCGTTTCCTAAAGCTTATTCAATACTGTTCACACCAGTTCTTATCAATACCTCTAAAACAATATCATGTATGCATAATATTCATACGTATTATACTAGAATGCTAGTATGTATGTATCTGACTTCTAGGTTCCTAAACTGTGTGTATAAATACCACAATTAGGGGATGAAGAGCTCGATCGAGAAACTTGGACTAATTGATTTATATACAATGTGTATATTGATATTTCATAATTTTATACATGTTCAGAATCTATAGATAGAGTGACACATTCATTGTGAATATACATTTCCAGCTGTATAACGAATCCATAAAATATCTTTCCACATTGCATTTACCGATTTATTTATTTTTTGAACATCCAGAAACGTTGTAAATTTAATAGGCTTTACATACAGCAGGAAACGGAGACGCTAGCCGCATCATGCATCTCAAGTCACTGAACCCAGAAGCAGGTTGGGCAAAGTGGAACGCATATGCGTTCCAACGTGCTGAGCTATGGACGCCAGTCCGTAACTAGCGCATGCTACTTCCGCATAGCAACCAACAACTTCCGCGTGGCAACGGCTACACTTCCGGGCGCCTTTTCCCAGCGTGCGAATGGATGGTATCTTCCGCCCCCACCTGGCGCAGTGGTACAATCCCCGCGTCCAGTTGCCATGGCAGCAAAGCCCGGAGCTACACAGTGACGGCCCGCAGCATGGCCCAGATCTCTCAGGGCACTGACACTGTGGGCAACCTCCTGGTGCAGGTAACACAGACTGGGCAACCGGGGTATTCATTGTATATCCAGTAAAAGAATAATTGCTTTCTTAATTAAAAAATGTATACACTGTTCCGTTGTTAATACCGCTTACTTAGTTGCCTGATTGCTGCACTATATGTTACTATGCCTTAACTTAGACGCATACACCTTTCTATTATCCATAATGCCTACACACTGCATTACCAAGCGTATTTACCATCAAGAAATATTTAACCTTGCTAAATCCATGCACACTTAAATGGCTTGGTAACCCGGACGTATACACCCCTGCGCAGGCAACCACGCGCGATTTAACCAGCGTGAGAATAGGAGGTCACAGTCAATGGGAGGATTATCTACATTTTGTCTAATCTAATGCAAAGCAAACATGTTGTATAGGAAGACTATTAGTGCTCCTGTGATAGCCTGGCTACAGCATTATATATTACACCTCAGAGAAAACGCAGCGGTTCTGACTGTTATGCACATATTACATTCATCTTCAGATGCTTTGAATAAACAGCTATACATACAAAGAAACGGGCCACGGTCTGGCGCCCCGAGGGCCATACATACATACATACATACACGCATTCTATTTCATACGTACCGACCATCTGGACCCCACGTGCTCACAGGGCACTCCAGTTTCGGTCAGACGTACGCTCCTAACTCATTACCACCCACGTTTCGTTCCATGATATGTCCTCTCTCTCACTAACTAAACTTCCCTCTTAGTTAGCAGTGGCTGGCTGTCAGGTTCCTAGGTGTCCACTAGTTATTATTCCCCCTGGCTTCTTCGCCTAAGGTTAGTGGTCCCGCGAGGCCAACACCCATCCTCATACTCGGAGGTACTACGCCCTCGGTCCAAATCATAGTTAGTTGCCTCGCATTGTGGCATAGACAGGGCCTCACCTGTCACTCCCATTCTATCTTATGTTTAACGGTCACCGAGAGGCCGACACCCCGCCACAACGTTCAGTGGCCACGTTATCCCCTCGCGCCAACGCATAGATAGAGCCTCTCAAGCCGCTTGGCAAATAGCAGGGCCTCACCTGTCACCCATCTAGAGTAATCGTTTCGCCGCATTGCGGCACTAGCTAGTCAGCCAGCACTCACATGCACTCACACACACCTAGTAAGTTGGGGGACGGCATCCTACAGATCCCGTCACGCATTAACCACTATGTTTCAGAATCGATAATCAGATCAGGTATCCTAGCGGATTATTCCCGCCTCGTTATAGCTTTAGTTTCGATTGTGAGTTTATATACTCTTACAGTATGTCAGAACTGTCATACAAGGCTAATTCATGCTTTCAATACGTCAGTCACTTACGGGCTAAGGGTCTACTAGATAATTAGTTATAGCAGTACAAGGATACCCAAATAGATATTTATTTCCCCAACTTGTCGCTCACTTGTGATCCTATTATTCCACATACACTAGGTGCCATATCAATCTAGTAGAAACCAAGATCAGCGGTTTCCTCCAACAATTTGTTTCAGGCATTTTACTTACATATATTTTCAGTTAAATACGTATATTGGACCTCACGTTGTACAGGTTTAGGCCTTGTATTGGACCATCGTCAGGTCCTCAAGACACTTACGTACATATAGTGATTGCTTACAGTTTTATGCATTACAGATATACTATTTATTACTTTGCAACCCATTAGGGGCTTTTCAGTACGTTGAGTTCTAAATTACATACGTTGACTCATACTATCGCTTAATTATCACGTCTACGTCAATTATACAAGCTATGCAGGTTAAAGCATTAGCAATCTAATAAAAACAGGGTAAACAGAATTCCCACTCGTTTCATATCAAATATCGAGGCATCACTCGGCCGTCATTACGAACGAACGAATACCATTCAAATCCTTTACAACTAACAGACTATATTGTATACATTTCACTATGTTATTTAAGTTCATGAGGTCCATCAGGATTAACTTTGGTCATGCTATCTGTTTCTGTCTAAGAAGTTACACCATAGGCATCGGATAATACAAACATTTAGGGTCCCAAGCCTATCAAATAAACAATTAGAGGGTATTTATTATACGAACACCTATCATCTTTAAGCTTAAACCACATTCAAAGCTTCTTTTCAGGTTCCTATCTTATAGTGCACACATTTTCCCCACTATGAATCACGGCATTTCATTTTATTCTTCGGTTCACATCACAACAGATAGTTCGTCAGGTGCCTTTTACAGTCCTTTTCACTGTGGTTCTATCCAATTACTCACACATGGTAGGTTATGTTAACGCTCATCCACAAGAAACAAGCCGGCCATGGGTTAGAAGTTCTGAACTTAGTCAAATAAATTGCACAAGGCCATCTTCTCACCCCGACATGGAGGTTCCACCCGGCGGTCCAACTCTGAGTTAGTACCTCGCAAGGTCTTGGGTAGGCCTCACATATCACAGCCACAAGTATAGTCTCTTTTACCGCCACCAACAGTTTAACAACCTGCTGCGCGTAGTAGATACAAGTCCACATGGGCCAAATCAAAGGTAGGGCCTCTCTCAGACACGGGGCAAATGGTAGGGCCTCACCTCTCACGGGATAGTCCTCATCATCGCCTATCAGTACTCGTTTGCAAGAAGCTCTACTATACGGGATATTCAATTGGCATCAAAGTTTGCATAGTTAAAACATATATATTTTCCTCCCTCCTCACAGCATGCTACAAGAAATAGCTCAGGTAACATACTATCTTTTCTCAAGCCGCGCCTATAGTCCTGAAGTCGGACCTTGCTTAAAAGTAAAGGTTGAGCTTAAAGAACATACAGTCCAGAGATCCTCTGCAGGTCAAAAAAGGTCTAATCATGCCTTAGATCAGAGTTTTACGCAGGTAAGATTTGTCTACGAATACTAGTCAAACATACTCTACAGCTTACGATATGTGTAAGTATAATATATGATTCAAGATAATAAATGTGTTACAGTTATAAATGGTTGCTTGCACAATTTTTGCCACATCTCTCTGAAACCAGCCTACAATTCTATAGAACTATACCTAAAGGAATTTAACATTACATGTAGACAATATACCAACAGCGCCCATTTTCTTTCTTATTCAGTAAAAGCGCTGACAGGTGTCAGAGATCAATGCGCCACAAATCATCCAATTCACTTCCTATCAACAGTACAATCTATGGGGGAGTTTTCAAATTAACCATTAAGCCTCCCTTTTATAACCTACTAACATAGTAATTTAAGTCAACAGCTTACTTGGCTTTCTACGATTTCTTGAGTCCAAAAGAAGAATTTTGCTGTCGGGAACATTTGACCTTTACCCATGCATCAAGAATTTAAGAAATCAACAATTGTTACATCATCTATACCAAAACTCAGTCGGGCAATTTAAATTGTGCCCGGTTCAAAATGTATACTACTAACCTAAGACCAGGTTAGCCAGGTCCCTAACTATCCCTTACTATCTTTAATAACTGTGATATTTGTTACTTTAAATACTCCACCCAGGCCTTAATCCTCCTACTCGGGCCACGCATTCCATGGCAATACAACAGCAGCCTCTAAAGGGCGTGGTACGACACACATAAGTAAAATATGGGAAGTTGGTATACAATAGTAACATTCCTAACCCAGGATAAAATCAGATGGTCGTTTCGATAATGTGACTAAATGACTACTAATTGTTAAATTAATCTTGTCTTTTTGCCCTCTTTTGCAGGCCTGACCTCTCGTCGGTTTCGGCACACCTCAACCGACTTTGGTCCTTATCGAACTACATACCTTTAATTGTACGTCCTCGAATTACCCCGTACACAAGTGGAAGGCAAATGCCTGAATTTGTGGGAGGGGTTAATTTCCTATTTAAATCCCCAGTAAATCCCAGCTTACCTATCGTCGGCGTTTTGAAGTTCCCCTCCCACCTCACCCTTTATTATTTACATCAATATACCAGGTGGGCCCTCTTTTGCAGGCCTGACCTCTCGTCGGTTTCGGCACACCTCAACCGACTTTGGTCCTTATCGAACTACATACCTTTAATTGTACGTCCTCGAATTACCCCGTGTACAAATATATATAATACCAAAAAAATGTTTATTCAAAAATTATGTAAAAAAATAACAATAATAAACTGAAGCTCCTGACTAATCTGTGTAAAAAAGCTAAAAAGGCTCATGAAACGGCGCACACTGACCCCAAGCGACGACCTGGTACTCAGTCCACACGGTGAACCGGTGATGCAGCCCATGAACGGACAGCAGGCTATACCCGCGGAGGCATGCGGCCGGGAGTGCGATGGAGGGGAACGGCGGCCAAGATCCCAGCCTGGAGTGGCCCTAGAGCTGATTGCCACACGCGAGTACCCTGCAACCCCCCCCTATGGACCGGTGGGGGTGATCCCAGTCCACTACTGGGAGTCCTCCGAGCCATGGCAGACACAGAGAAACCCATCGGAGGGCCAAGAGACTAACCAAAGATGGCGGCGATCATGCAGCCTGTGAGCAGCCAGGTGGAACAACAAGCCCCTGTGTCCAGCTTGGAATAAATATTTATAAATTTCGGGCAGAAGATTGAATGCAGACTGCAACAGGGAATCCAGCAGACATCAAACTTAAGCTTCCCACCATGCCATTCACTGCCCGACTCACAGTGAAAATCGGCACACCCGAAGAGACACAAAACTGCGAGAAGGCGGCGGAGAAACAGGCAGGCACCTTACCCGTGCAGGGTGACAAAGAGAAGAACACTGTAGAACCTAAACACTCTAAAGCCAGCAATGATATCAGAGGAAGAGGGTCTACCTAGTTTGCGGCTCATACACAGTGCCCCACCCAAGCTTAGGAACAAGCAGCAGCAAGAACCCGTAATTAAGGACTAGGCTTGGAGGGCACGCAAACAGCAAAGGCCTCTGAAACCTTCAGCAGCACGGAGGTGGGCACCGACCAGGAGCAAACCGCAGCCCTGCATCGAGCCCAACAAGACACGGAGAGCCTTCGGGACACGGAAACGCATGGCCCCTTACCGGTCACTCAAAACCTGGCGCACACCAGCAGCGACAGGGACTATGCTCTGCTGAAACGAGACATAGGGTAAATGGGGGCCATGGAACGGCAGCAACAGAGGGCCCTGCTGACTATACTTCACCTGCGAACTGACTCCCTTACTAAACAAACACAGTCAGCAGTTTACATGTCTCAAACAAGTCACCTATGAACTCACTGCATTGTTTTGCCTGCCGCTAAGTCTGACCCACAAAGTTGGTAACCTAATGCTATGGTACAGCCTTCATTCTGTGTCTCTCTGACTCTTCTCACCTGTCAGGCTCACCTTGATTATTTTTTTTAATATAGCGAGAATCTAAGCAGTTATAAATATAGCATAAGCATAAATGTTGGACCCTCAAAGAAAAGCAATGCCATGTATTCAAATTGACCTTAAACGAGACCAAACTAATTATATGCTTGTCTAGCTTAGCATGTTTAAACTAATTTACTAATGTTATAAAGCAAGATATTTGTATGTTTTCTTTAAAAAAAAAAAAAAAAATGTGCTGTTTAATCTGCCACGCTTTAAAATGCTAAAATGTTATGAAAAAGCCTGCAGCTGCTGTTGTGGCCCTGCATGCCTGTTACTTCATGCACAATGAAAATAAAGAATTTAAAAAAAAAATAATAATAAAAATGAATAATCATAATATAAATAATATACTGTAGTATGATTTTCAATATTTTTATAAAAATCTTGAAATATATACTGTATTTGAAAAATATGCTATAGATTACTATTTTAACTTGGGGGAGAGCCAAGTAAGTGCAACAAAAACAAAGAACTTTTGGGCTCTCCGCAAATTGAAAGGGCAATCCAGATGTGGATCCAGTGTTCACTGTGCCTAGAGCTACACCTCACTGACGAGGCCCAAATAAGGCCGAAACGTTCGTCCAGGGTCGCTGGACGATCAGAGATAACTTGCTGTCATTTCGACTCTGGACTGCCCTTATTGGTGAGATCAGTCTTATACGCCTTGGAACTGGATCTCTCTGCAATGGCAGGAGTGAGAAAAATCTATTTTGAGGTCTGAGTGGGGAATTACAGAAAGGCAAGCTACTGAGTTCCTCTAAGCTTTTGTCGTTTCTCAGAGTTCTCATATTCTATGTTTGTGTATACACAAACACTGCCGTGAAGTGGTTAAAGGAATGTTTAAAATAAAAATATGAAAAGTCCCCAGCTCCTGCCTAGCGTATAACCCAGAGTTACACAAATTCACTGTATGTATAAAACTCAACAAGGGTTGTGGTGTTGTGCAGCCAATATGAAACGCTAATCACCTTACGCGGCTGAAATAGAAACGAGGAAACTAATGTGGTTTAGTGCTTTTCCCACCAATATCAACCTGTGCTCTGCATTAGGAGCAATTAAAAATATATGCGTGACATTTTCTACTACAAACGTATTCCTTGTTATTAGAAACAAGTCTCTTGTAGAACACACTGTTCTTCAACCATCATCGAAACAAGAAACAATATGCAATCTATTAATCTCATCTCCCTGGGGAGAGTAACTGCCAGTTGGGTAAATGTTACACGTATCTAATAAATTATTTAATCGCCTACACTCCGGATTGCACCCAAGGCAATATTATAGCAGAAAAGGGAGTTAAACAACTACTACAACATAAAAAACACTAGTTTTAGTTAGAGTAATCCTTTCTGGGATGATTTGCCCCCTCCCAAGATTAAAAAAATATAAAGTTCTCCCCTCAGCTCGGTTCTCATTGGCTCATGTTGTTACGTGTGCTGCGCATGCTGACATCAGATGCCAATTTTACACAGATTGACATGAGGCTAATGACACTGGTGGAGACGGCTTTACACCTCCAGCAGCTCTGGTAGCAAAGGGATTCAATTTTATATGTGCATCATTTGAAAGTCAATTACTACAAATTGACTCCAACCACCAGGGCCAATTCAGATCATTGAAGTAGCCATGGACCTTGGAGTAATGCAACAAAGCTGTATTCAGGGGCAATACAGGTGAAGATGCATTTATGGGGTGGGCGGTGGGGGAATGTAGGGGGGGACAAAAAGCTTCTTTACCTGTTTAGCCACAAATCCTTGTACCGGCCCTCATGTGAATGTGATAACACGGAGTGTTGTGGTGTTATGAAGACAAGCTCAGGCACCAAGTGTAGTGGTGCTATGGAGACAGGCTCAGGCACTGAGAGTAGTGGTGTTGTTGAGACAGGCTCAGGCACTGAGGGTAGTGGTGTTGTGGAGACAGGCTCAGGCACTGAAGGTAGTGGTGTTGTGGAGACAGGCTCAGGCTCTGAGGGTTGTGGTGTTGTGGAGAAAGGCACAGGCACCGAGTACAGTGGTATTATGGAAACAGGCTTGGAGACAATGGTGAGGCCTAATAGAAAGCAGTTGTTGGGGGATTCTATCATAAGAAGTGTGGAGCTGGACAATAGTGGTCTTGTGAGATGTTTTCCAGGAGCTACTGCTCACAGAGACAGGAGACGTATTTGTAATATGCTCGCAGTTTAGGGAATAAGATCCATGAACTTGTGGCAATAATGGCAACTGATAATGTAGATTTAGTCGCTGTTACTGAGACATGGTATAATGAGAAAAATGACTGGGACATAGCAATACCAGGGTACTCTTTATATAGAAAAGACAGGGAAGAGGGGGGCGTGGTCTGCGGACGAGCAAGCTGGACGTGTCCGGGTAGAGCTCTGCTGCGGCCACGGTGCCAACTGCTAAAAAAAAGCTGAGATACAACTTGAAATTGAACATACTTGCGGGGGACCCACGATGGATAAGAGGGCCCCGAGGAAACAGGTATAAAAAACGATGGAACCAGGTACAACGGTGATGGAGATGTTTGCGGCCACCCGTGCCGTGAGATTGAGCACCCAAGATGGTGGACGGGACGGCCAGGGGACACCGCGCTCACCATCAAGCCCGGGGAGCGGTGTCACCACGGGAGCATCTGAGACCGATACCAGCCAGATATTGGCTAAGCTGGCGGAAGTTCGCACTTACCTAGCCACCGAAATCGTCAGAAACACTGATGAAGTGAAGGCGGAAATACAGGCCTTGGGCGCGAGGACGGCAGCACTAGAACAGTGGGTGGAGTCCATGGTCGTGGCCCACAATGAAGCTGCCGCGCAGATTAACCTCCTGACGTCCCGATTACTTACTGCTGAATCAGCGATCGACGATCTTGGGAATAGATCGCGGCGGAACAACATTCGCCTCCGCGGTCTACCGGAGCAGGAGGGGGAAGGGTCTCTCATTGACGTTGTCATGGGCATTTTTAAGCCGCTTCTCCCCGACATGCCGGACCACCTCTGGCATATTGAGCGGGCACATCGGGCGCTCCGGGCCAAGCGGGCAGATGATAGACGGCCAAGAGACGTGATCATCAAATTCTTATCCTTCCAGACGAAGGAGGCCCTGATGAAACGAGGCAGGAATAGCCTGATCATTTACAAAGGGGCAGAGCTGGCCCTGTATTAGGACTTAACTCCGGCTACATTGCAGAAATGATGTGAGTGGCGCCCTATTACCGAGCTCCTGCCACATCATGCGATTAAGTACGCTTGGGGACACCCATTTCGGCTGATGGCCTTTAAAGATGTTATACTCTGATGGCGACCCGGCGGCGTTCCTGAGGGAGCTGGGGATCCAGGTTCTAGAGGGACTGGCGGTTCCGGCGACGTCGGCGGAGGTCCTGAGTACCCTTCCTCGCGACTGGTTTACAGCAGGCGAGTGAAGAGGTCGGCTCCTACACAGATGTCGTGGGTTGGATGTCCGCGGATCCGTGCGGTGAGGTTCTCTGGATGGGCTTCTGTTGTTTGGGCGGGTGAAGCCGGGGTCTTTTTCTCTTTTGCGGCCCTGGTTCATGGGGTCTTTAGCGGGGTTACCCCTGCTCGGTTGCCCGGTCCTCGGGTGGGGACGACGTGTGTTTGGGGTGGGTTAGGGTTTTTCATTTACCATTTCTACTACTATTATTATTTGAGTCTCTTAGCCCGGACTCATCTCTTCTGTACATATATGCTTATGGGGGCCGAGGGGGAACGTTATGCTGGTGGTTCAATGATGGCAGTTTGCCATCGGGATGCTCCCGCAGATATACTATGTAACCCTATGGGTTCGTTGCAGTTCATGGGGATGACGACTTTATTCATGCATATTGCTGTGTTTTTCGGGTTGTACCGGGCGGCAGGCGGTGGGTTGCGATTACCATGGCGGGCTGTCAAAATTGTTATGATGTATGATTCCTGATCTCCACCTCTCCTTAGTCCTGATTTACGTGGGGTATGCACCGGGCGGGGCACGGATCTGGGGGAGGGGGTATCACAGCAGTTTGCAGGCCATGCTCATTGAGACTGACCATAGCTGGGGGTTCCCTCCATTCCGCCCGGGGAGCGGGTTCTGTATGCTGTTTAACCCCTCGGGTTGCGCGGGGTGGCAGAGGGTAGCTATTATTATTCAAGATTACTGACTTCCAGTTACCATCGCGTTTCTTTTAGAGGGGTATGAGCAGGGCGGGGAGAAAAACCAGGGGAGCGGGATGTATCGGGTTTAGGGTTTCTCCGGCCCTGCTCCGCGCGGTCTTCGGTTGGGGCATCGGGGGGCGGATGCTGAAGTCCCCGTGGGCGGCCCGGGGGTGTACCGCTCTCGGGGGGGGGGGGAGAAGTTCATGTATCATGGGGCCCTCTTACATGGCGATCCATATTGTTTGGGGCAGTGCACGATGCACCTGAGGTTCTCCCCCTTCCGTCCGTGTATTGGCCTTGGGAGGATCTCCTGTGGAATGTGGTAAATCCACCTTTTGTTGGGGAGGTACCCCAGGCCCTGCGGGTGCGGAGGTGGGGACGGGGGAGTGGATGACTGGGTGCATTACTTGGGGCTGATGCAGGGGAGGGGGAGGGGCCTCCTGGTGTGCAGGATTGTACACAATGTAGCGGCCTGCTGAATTGCAATGCATACTGTATCTCACATATGGTTTAAGTTGGCAACTTGGGGGTGCGTTTCTTTGTTGGTCTATGTTCCTGCTACTCTGGAGCCTCTCTGAGCATACACCCCATTTAAACCTGGCTATAGGTAAGTCCAGGCAAAAGTTATTCATGTTGTTATGTTTCTTTTCTTCTACTCTACTTCTCCTTTCTTCTTCTTATCTCCCTATTAGCCCTACCCCTACATAATTTCCCTTGGGAGGGGGAACAGGTGAGAACACTGCCCTGGTCATCGGAGACCGGGCCACCATTGTATGGAGATGCAACATAATATGGGACTTCTATACCAGCTCCCGGCTGGGATGGTGGGAGGGATAGGCTTTTTCCTGTTGGATACAATGCCCCTGAAATTAATGTCACTGAATTTTAAGGGCCTGAACGCTCTGAGTAAATGTCGCCTTATGTTCAGGGAACTTCAGTGAT